CGCCTCTCACTCTCACATCATCAGACATCTCTCATTCACACCTCTAGATCTATCTCATCTTGTAGCTTTCTCAAAATCTCTCTTCTTCGATAATTCCGCTTTTCTTTTGCATCTCCCTCACTCTCCCTTGAAGGTGAGAAACTCCAATATTCGTCGTTTTTATTTTTCAATTACAATTTTTTAAGTTATAATCCAAATTAGGGTGTGTTTCCAATATTTATAGTGATCTTGTGAATGAAAATTGTCACTTTGAAATGCATTGATAAATGCATGTTTGATTTCACTATATTGTATCTTCTTGGTGCTTACTAATCAATTGAATGAATTTTGTAAGTGAGTAATTGATAGATTTGTTCCCCTAAATTTTGTAAGTGCATATATATTTCGTTAGCTAGATCTATTATTAGATTATTGTTTTTTTTTTTAATACAAGAAGTAGAGAGAGATGATAATTGATTATAAGAGTGCATGAATAAATGATCTTATCCGCTTAAACTAAAAGCCCCTTGCATTATTAGGTTATTAATGCATATCTTATGGACTTTGTTTTTTGCTTATCATGTATATTTACATTTTTTAGGGGTTTTAGATTTTGTTTGGTTGATGGTTTGAGATTGATGGACTTTATGTTAAGAGTAGCTTTGTTTTGTTTTGTCTTTGATGTGAATTGATGAAATGGTGGTTTTGTTTCTTTAATGAAAAAATTTTCAATTAATGAGAAGAAAATTATATAATAAACTACTTTATTTTAAGAGTCCACAACCTTAAAAATCAATTTTTTGAAATAAATAAAATTCGAAATAAACTTTTGAGAAAAAAAAAATTATGTGCTCCACTCAATAAAGAAAGTGAACACATTTTACATTTATCTTCTCAATAGTTGTGGTTGGACATTATCTGTTTGGTGTATGGGACTTTACATGATTGGGCGTAGTCTTGCCCCAGTCTTGCCCTTTTAGAGGGAATTTATAAGCCACAATATGTTGGATTGTTGTTCAATTCCTAGGTTTATCTTACATTTACTAGAATATTAATCCAGCCCAAACCAAGCGAGCAAATAGTCGAGTTCAATTTAATAAATTGTTATCCCCTTTACCAAATTATACATGATGTGTTGAGAAATTAGTTTATATTAAATATAAAAGACGCATCCACGATATACAAAATATCTAGAGTGAGAAAATCTTAAAGCATTAACAAAATACAGACATTAAAAAAAAATGCGGAAATGTGAAATGTATCTAGATAATATGGTATCTAATCTATTGGCATTCAGAAATGGAAACGCATTTTTCTTCTGTGGAAAGATATCTGAAAGCATACAACTTAAAATGGTAAGAAGGGTAAAGTTGGCAAAATATTACCACCATAAAAGGAAATATATCTTAACCACACCCGCGCCTTTCCATTTTCACGGCCATCCAAAAAAGAATTACAAATCCAAAAAAGAAAAAAAAATCCAGAAAATTAGAAAATGTCTGTCTGTCTTTCTGTTCGTAACTCCTAAATTTCGAGTTCTGCCCAAAACTCTCCCGCCAAGTGGCCAAAATTTGAAAGACGAAGACAAAGAGCGGCTCGGCATGCTCTTCAAGTGTCGAGCCACAGGCTGTCTGAAACTGAAATCTGAGGCTTTAAAGTCCGAGTGAGCGTCAGAGTTGAGATCCAGAGGAAGAGAGAGTTAGAGAGAGAGAGAGATGGCGAGTTCTTCGAGCTCTGGTTTGGAAAACAACGCCTTGGCTCAGAAGAATGAGAGCGAAAGAGTCAGGGATGATATGGTGGCCCAAATAAAAAACCGTGTGCAAGCTGAGGGAAAAACCTGTCATCAGGTGATTTTTTGTTTTTTTTAATTTTTAGTGGGATTTGCGTACCCAATTTGTGGTGTGTTTGGTTGGTGAGAAAATTTCTGAAAGAAACGGAGAGTAGACTTTCCTAGACTTTTGTTGTTGTTGTTGTTTTTCTTGTTCGGATGATAGAAAATGTAGGAAATTATGAAAGGTGGGATTTTTTGTTTTGGTCAATTTATTTAATGGTTTGTTGGTTACATTCCGCAGTGCCGGCAGAAGACACTGAATTTTGCTGCCTCATGCACCAATATCAAGACGAAGGGTCGTCGTTGTCAAATTAATGTTTGTTCCAGATGCCTCCTGAACAGGTTAGATTAAAACAATTCTCTCTCTTTGGTTTTCCAAATAAAGTTTGTGGAATAAATTGGTATGGGATATCAAATTGAAAATAGATATGGAGAAATAGCTGAGGAGGTGGATCGTGAGGGTAACTGGAGTTGTCCCAAATGCAGAGGCATCTGTAATTGTAGTACTTGCATGTAAGTGTTTGAAATTAGCATATCATTATTATTAACTTGTATTGCTGTTTTTTTGGTGTTTTGGTGAGGCTGATTAGACATACCTGTTTTCTCAGGAACAAAAAAGGTCTCCAACCCACTGGTCTTCTTGCACCAACAGCCAAGGCAGAAGGGTTCAAATCTGTTTTTGAAATGTTGAGTGTGAAAGGGCTAGAGAACTTAGGTCGTGACAAGAATGCTGGACGCAAGGGTGCTTCGCGAAAAAAGGCTGTTGCTATAAACGAGGTTTGGTGGTTTTGATTTAATAGTATTTTGCTGCTGCATGTTGATATTTTTTTTATGTTATCTTGTTTGGATGAGTGTTGTTTAAAGTGGGTTTATGGTCTTGTGTTTTAATAGGATCCTGTTGTTGATTCTCCGAGAAAACGAGGGAAGGAGAATTCTGTTGAAGGAAGTGATGATGTGAACTTGAATGAAACACTGGACTCTGATGAGCTGAAAAGTAAGAAAGCAAAGCGGGGAAGGTTGATGGAAATTGGTAATGAGGGCAGAGATGATGCCAAGGCCAAGACTGGCAGAGGGCGCCGCAGAGGCAAGGAATGCAGCATGAAAAAGAACAAAGAGGAAGAGGGTGAGGATGATGCTGTCCTGCCTCAGGGCAAACCTGTAACAGATGCGGCGCAGATTGAGATACCACCTGAGGATGCTGGAAATGCTCTGCAATTTTTGGAATTTTTCTCAGCTTTTGGAGAGGTAATTCTCACTTTGTCTATCAAATATCAAACTAAAAGTCTAAATGGTGCTCTGATCTTGTTTTAATAGTTTTTGCTATATCATTTTGTCCCATGGCTTTGAGCCTGGCCATTGAACACTTCATTATGCACTATACTCGATACTGGGCTCTACAGGATTCTTATGTTTTTTACAACATGAAATGGTTCTTATCTGGTGCATATTAATGATGGAAACTGTGATTAGCACTCCAAAAGACTCATCATACACCCCTTCCTTACAAAATTAAAAAAGAGAGAAAATGCACTTCAAGGAATGCATGATGATATATATATATATTTTTAGTGTGAGTAACAGCCCTTTTAATTTTTTGTGCTAAAACATTTAAACATTCATAAATTTCCACTGCATTTGATATGAAATCTCTCTTCTTCTTTTTTCTTTTTTTTTTAAAAAAAAATTTTATTCTAGGTGCTAGACTTTGAAAGAGACCAAGCTGAACATCTACTTAAAGAATTATTGCATCGAGGAAGGGGGCGAAGTGGACGCCCAGAACAGTACTCCTCAATAATTCGATTTCATATCATGATGCTCTCCTTCATACAGGAGGATACAGGAAAGGAGTAAGAACTCTACCTAGTATATATATATTTATGCATAAAGTACTTTAGTAAGCTTTAATGGTGGAAAGAATTCATGTAGTTTCTGCTAACATTGTTTCCTGTTAGGTCTCACTGTTTAGGTGAAACAAGCAACAAGAATACATGGTTCCAAGATTTGGGGAAACGCATCTCTAAATCCGGCATCTCGGGCGATGTAATGGATGGACTTCCCCCAGAGTGTTTTAGCAAAGGCAGTGCTGGATATGAGATGTTAAACTTCTCACAGAAACTTAGGCTTTTAACTTTCCTCTGTGACGAGGCTCTTGGTACTAAGTAAGTAGAAGATACATAATATTTAAATTATAATTTTGTAATGTCCTGTTTTCTGGGTTAAGACTGACGAGAACTTTTCAATATTTTTTCCAGTACACTGAGGGACTGGATAGATATGCAAAGTGAAGAATCTGTTGAAACAAAGAATGCAAAAGAAAAAGTTGCTGCAGCAAAGGATAAGGTAATATTAAAAATAAGGCATCTGTTGGAGCCTCAGCCAACAAGTAATTCTGTTTTTAACTAAATCGTATGTACAGGAGAAAGAAATCCAAAAAAGGTTGGACGTTGAGAAGGCGAAGAGGGTAGATGCAAACAAGGATGATCCTGTCTCAATTGAAAAACATGGTACTAATACTACGGTTTCACGACTAGAAAGTGAGGTAGCTCAAGCTCAGGCGGAGGTAGCTGAAGCAGCAGCCATGGTACCTAAAAGTAAGTTCCAATTTCTAATATCTTCAGTGCCTTTCAATTATTATTTTTTCCAGAATTGTTGTTAAAACTATCTTTAGGAATACTTGAGATGTTTTTTTTTTCTTTTGGTTGAAGTGCTTTTTATGTTTTGGTTCTTCATGAACATCTGGTTACCATTTTGCTAATTATTAAGCTTCCGTATCTTCCATGCGTCCTTGTTAAAATTGTTTTGACTTATTTTACAGAGAAGCCATTTTCTGATGCTATGAGAACACAGCCTCATCTTGTGGATGCTGATGGTCGGGTATTTTGGAAATTAAACAGCCATACTGGTGGTGAAGGTGGTGTTTTGCTTCAAGGTTAGTTCGAACTGCGCCAAACAAAATGCATAGAGTTCCACTTTTCAGTTATTTGGATGCTAAAATTCTTCTTTTCGAGTATTGTACAGATATGGGAAAATGGGATGCATCTCCATCTCACGAAAAATGGTTCGTTTATGGTGCTGAAGCCAAAGAGGGGGTCGAAAAATACCTCGCTCATCTGACACTAAAGTATGCGCATATAATTGTTTTGCATTGTTAGTTAGGTTGAATTGTTCTGATATCGTACAATTTTCTCTTTCAATGAACTGGTTGTTGATGCATAAGCTGTTTGCTTGGCCTGCAGGCAACAAAAGGAAAAGAGGGCTATGAGGAAAAAACGTTCCAAAACTTCTTGTGAAAGTAATGAAGAAAACATGGAGCTCATTCCTGAAAGTAATGAAGAAAACATTGAGCTCAGTCCTGAAAGTAATGAAGAAAACAAGGAGCTCAGCCCTGAAAGTACTGAAGTAAACAAGGAGCTCAGCCCTGAAAGCAATGAAGTAAACATGAAGCTCGGTCCCGAAAGCAATGAAGTAAACATGAAGCTCAGTCCCGAAAGCAATGAAGACAACATGAAGCTCAGTCCCGAGAGCAATGAAGACAACATGGAGCTCAGTCCTTCGGAAAGCAATGGAGAAAACATGGAGCTCAGTCCTTCGGAAAGCAATGGAGAAAACATGGAGCTCAGTCCTTCAGAAAGCAATGAAGAAAACATGGAGCTCAGTTCTTCTGAAAGTAATGAAGGAAACATGGAGCTCATTCCTGTGGCTAATTAGAGTTTTTAGCCATCAGAAGACAGTTGTTTCAAGTCCATTTTAGATTTTTTTTTTTTTAAATGCAGAACCGTCTAAATATGTGATAAGGATGATAACATCCAAGTAGTTGGCTGCCCGAGTTTCTGCATAAAGCTGTTTCCTACTTTGGCTTTTGCTCTCTATGGCATTGCTGATTTGAAGAGAAGCGACTTTCAGAAACAGGCCAGCTGCCTCAGCACAGAGGTGTGGTTCTTAACCTTTCAATGGTTGGATCATACTCTGTATTTATTCTGGGGAATGTAAGCAAGGGGATAAACCTTTTTTCAGTATTTTCTGAATGCATTTTGGAACTTTTATTAATTTCATGTTTCCAGATCTATCTCTGATATTTGTTCCTGGTTTAAGATCATTTAAGTTCATGCAATATTTTCTCTAGGTTGTATTAATGGATGTATTTATTCTGGGGAATGTAAGCAAGGGGATAAACCTTTTTTCAGTATTTTCCGAATGCATTTTCGAACTTTTATTAATTTCATGGTTCCAGATCTATCTCTGATATTTGTTCCTGGTTTAAGATCATTTAAGTTCATGCAATATTTTCTCTAGGTTGTATTAATGGATTGGCCAGACTTGAAGTCTTGGGTCCAGGCCCAGGCTCAGAGAGACTATGAGGGGCTACAATTATGGAGTTCTCAATAGTCATCTGATCAATTGTAGAGTTATTACAAGGTAGCTAGGTTCAACACCTCAACATTGCCCCTCATTATCAAAGCTCCTAATCAGTTGGGCCTAGTGATAATATCAGACTTAGGCCATATATAGGTCCAATGAGGGCCATATCAGACTTGG